TCTTTTTCTTTTTCTTTTTCTTTGAAACAGAGTCTTGTGTAATCCTTACTGGACTTAAACTCTTGTAGCTGAGGGTAACTTTGAACTTGGGATCCCATGTAGTGCTGGGATTAGAGGGCGTGTCACCACATCCAGTTTTATGTGATCCTGAAAACTGAACCTAGGGTTTCTTGCATGTTAGGCAAGTATTTTACCAACTGAGCCGTATTGGGGGAATTTTCATTTACAACCACCATTACAGTGATCCACTGTTAGCTGGTGCCAGTGTGTCTTGCAGAACCATTATCAGACCCCTAAGAACTTCTCTTGAGGCACTAGAGGAAAACTAAAAAGTGCTAGGAGGACCTAATGCTTTTTCCTGGTCCTTGTTTGCTTCCTGGTGCGTCCTGGCTTTTGGGATGCTGTCTTACATTGCTTCTTCATGCCAACAGTGGTAGAACATTCTAGCGGTGGCTGTAAATCCACACTGCAGTTTTTCTAACCAGTTTAAACCTCTCAAAAGTGCTAGCAGAAACATCTTAGTAACTGTATAGCAATGTAGATCCGGGGCTGAGAGATATGTTAATAATTGGCACAGAACTCAACTTATAATTATCTTTTCTTAGATACAAAGGAGAAAAACAGTTAATACAAAGTAGTTTTCAGCCCTGGCTTCACACAGATTTACTAAGAGACTTCAGCAATCTACTCACATTTTTTCTTTATTGTAACCAACTGAAAAACATTTTTTTTAAAGATTTATTTATTTATTATGTATACAGTGTTCTGCTTGCATGAATGCCTGCAGGCCAGTAGAGGGCACCAGATCACATTGCAGATGGTTGTGAGCCACCATATGGTTGCTGGGAATTGATCTCAGGACCTCTGTAAGCAGTGCTCTTAACAGCTGAGCCATCTCTCCAGCCCTGTACTCACATCTTATATTAAGAAAAATGTTTTTTGGGGGCCAATGAGATGGCCCAGAGAGTGCTGTCAAAACTTGACGCCTGAGTTGAATTCCTAGAACTCACATAGTGGAGGAAGAGAACTGACTCCCAAAGGTTGACCTACGCACACACACACACACACACACACACACACACACACTCACATACACACACATACACACATACACACTCAAATGTTTTAAAATGCAAAATATATAAATAGTAAATATATATAAACACATAAGGAAATTTAAGTAAAAATTTTTGATATACATATATATGCTTGTATTTGTTTACATTTAAGAATTGTTCACATAAAGTACTTGGGTCAGTTTGGTGGTACATTCCCATAATCCCAGAATTTGGGGAGGTAGAGGCAGGAGGATCAAGGGTTTAAGATCAAACTTGGCTACATTGTAAGTTCAAGGCCAGCTTGGACTACATCAGACCTTGTCTCAAAGCAAGCAATAAATAAATGAAAAATAAAGATACTTAGGGTTGCCGGGCATTGGTGGCACATGCCTTTAATCCCAGCACTTGGGAGGCAGAGGCAGGCAGATCTCTGTGAGTTCGAGGCCAGCCTGGTCCACAGAGTGAGAGCCAGGATAGGCTCCAAAGCTACAAAGAGAAACCCTGTCTCGAAAAACCAAAAAAAGAAAAAAAAAAGATACTTAGGGTTTTTTTTGTAGAGACTGTTATTTGATGGTCTGGAATGGAACTTGGATGCTAGTGCTTTTCTTCTTTTTGTTTTGGTGATTGAACCCAGGACATCATACATGGTAAGCGGGCATTCCACCACAGCCATGGCCTTAGTTCTATATCAGTATGTTTTAAAAGCCTAGGTGATCCTAGTGTGCAGCCTCAGTCAGGAACTGCTAATACACATGTCCTTTAATGACGATGGAGATAGAAAAACTGACACTATTTGCAACAAGCAAATTACTGTCATGCCCTTAATTTGAGTAGATGGGTTGCGATAGCAGGGTTATGGATGTGTAATTGTCTCCTGGTTTGCAATGCTGTTGTGTTTCTTCAGTCCTTATCCAGCTCACCACCCAGCTGAAACTGGGGCAGGTCATCCATTGCCTAGTGAACGAGTGCTACAGAGAGGTGAGTATAGAGCTGTGGGTTCTCGAGACCTTTCTCAGATTCTGTGAGAGCTAAATCAGTCCTTTGAGTAGGTGGGGAAATGGAACTCTAGAAATTATGACAAAGGTTCCACGGCTGGTGGCAGAACCAGGGAATGACTCTGAGGCTTCTGGTCTTGCTCCAGCACTCTGAACAACTTCCTTCCACTTTCAGCATCCCAAATTCTGCTGCTGTGCAGCGGAGCCTCATCTTGCCGTAGAGTCATCTCATAGCCCATTCTTGGTATCTTTCCAAATACAGTACACAATTCTTTGATGGATTTATCAAGGAAACAGATTCTGTGTCTGAATTCAGTGTTTTTACTTGGTTTTGAGTTGTATGCATGACTTGGTATCAATATCTGAAGCAAATCTTGTAAAAGTATGTAGAACATACTTTCTTTACTATGTTAACCTTTGAACAGAAAGTTGAACTATATCTTTTGTATTGTGTCTAAGACCGAGGGATAATACCAGAATTAACGTTTTTAAAAGATGAGATCTTACCATGTTAGCCTTGGCTGACCTGAAACTTGATATGTAGATTAAGCTCGGCCTTGAGTTCATGCAGATCTGCCTACCTCTGCCTCCTGAATGTGGGATCCAAGGTGCATATCTCTACATCCAGCCTAGAATCACTTTTTTTTTCCCCCTGAGACTGGGTTTCTCTGTGTAGCTTTGTAGACCAGGCTGTCCTTGAACTCACAGAGATCCGCCTGCCTCTGCCCTTTGAGTGCTGGGATTAAAGACGTGTACCACCGCCACACGGCTTCTAGAATCACTTTTATTTATTTTTTCAGAAGGAAGACAAATGTTCACCTTAATTTTTTCTTTTCTTTTCTTTTTTTTTTTTTTTTGAGATAGTCTCCCCATATGTAGTCCAGGCATTGAACTTTTGATCCTTTTGCCTCAGCCTTTCAAGTGTTGACATTATACGCCAGCTTATATGAAATTTCTTTTTAAATTAAAATTTTATTTTATGTATATGGGTGTTTTGTCTGCATGCATATGTGCACTGCATGCATGCCCTTGGAGACCAGAGATGGTGTTGGATCCTCTGACTGGAGTTACAGATGGTTGTGAGCTGCCATGTGGGTATTGGGAGTCAAACATGGGTCCTTTGGAAGAGCAGCTACTCCCCTCAACTACTGAGCCATCTCTCTATACTCCCTCTTTTTGAGACAGGATCTTATTAGTAGAGCAGGCTGGTCTTGATCTCAGAGATCTCACACCTCTGCCTCCTGAGTTCTGGGATTAAGGCATGAGTTGCCGTGCCTGGCCCACGTGCAGTATCTTATCCAGTCTCATCAACAAACGTAGGAGAGTGCTGCTGCTATTGCTTTCCACCAGAAGAGTCTATGCAGTAGGAAAGGTTACTTATTCTCCCTGTAAAGCACAAAACATAGTGCTTGCCATATACAGAATGATCAATAAAAACTGAGCATGATGGTGCAGCCTGTAATTCTCTCTCACAGCTATAGAGAGAGTTTGGGCTAGCATGGGCAACGTGAGATCTCAAAAAACAAAATAGTAAAGGTTCATGACTTTCATAAGGTCAGTAAAATAAAACTGGTTACTCAAGTCATATGACATTCATTCATTATGCTGGGGATATATACAGTTCAGTGGCATAGTGAGGTCCTGTGTCCAATCCCCAGTACTACATCCACAAAAAAGTTAATTGAATGTTCAATAACGGTAGCTAAAATATGTATGCATATACATTTAGAGCCAGTGTTTTATCTTTATGAGGCTTCCAACTTTTATCCTCCAGTTTCTGGTTCTAAAGGACGCAGAAATATTTACCTAATTACATATTTTGCATTTTAAAATGTGTGTGTGTGTGTGTGTGTGTGTGTGTGTGTGTGTGTGTGTGTGTGTGTAGGTGTGTAGGTGTGTAGACTGAGTCCAGGACCTCAAGGCATCCTAGGCAAGTGTTCATCCACCATGCTACATCCCAAGCCAGAATATGTTAATATTAGTAAAGTTTAACCATCGTGTACTAAGCTAGGGACTGAGAACTGGGGGAGGAATTTGACTTGGTCCTTTCCTCCAGGAATTCCCTGTCAAATGGAGGAGATGGGGACTTAGCTAAAGCTAATGAGAGACAAGCATACCAGGCACTAACTTGGGTAGGACATTACCATCACTGGCAAGTTAGCCATGATTCTGACAGCACTGTTCACTTTCTGTAGCTGTGTAGCATGCCTTCCATGGGAGGCAGCCTGGCAACCACGACTCTTCTTGGCAAGCTGGTGGATGCCATTCCTGGTTTGGCGGATGAGCTTGTAACGGAGCATGGTAAGTTTCCTGTGGAGAGGGTGGCTCCTGCCCTTTATATACGTTGGTCACATTGCCACATCAGTGCCTATTTACTATGTGTGCACACTCGGGAAGGGATTACTTTCCTTGTGTACTCTTCAGTTTTTTGTTTTTTTTTATTCATCTGCAGAATGTGCACCATATTGGTCAGTTTGAAAAAAGCCAGTTTCTTGACTCTGGTTTTGGATTTTTTTTTTTTTTTTTTTTGAGACAGGGTCCAACCTGGCCTCAAACTCAGTTTTTCCTTGGTCTCCTGAGTACTGGAATTAGAGGTGTGCACTACAAATGAACTAAGGGCTTATCATGACCTTCCTTTCAGGTGTAAAGATAAATTAATTCTGGGACACAGAAGCACTTTTAGGTTTTATTTATTTAATTAATTTAATTTGTGAGGGTGTCATAGAGAGTTTGTGGAGTTCAGAGAACAACTCTTGGGAGTCATTTTTCTTCTGTCACATTGTAAGATCTGGACATCAAGCTCAGGTTGTCAGGTTTTCAGACAAGCCCCTCTAACCACTACTCACAGACCCGGGAAGCACTTAAAAAAACCAAACCAAAACAAAACAAAAAACAGTGACATTCAAATCTATATTTCCCAGAGGGTTATCCTTTAAGTTTTGACCTTTTCTTTTGGTTGTGCATTTAGAAACTTTTTTTTTTGTAGGGAATTTGGGAAATCATTGTTACCTAACTGAAGTCCCACAGAGTGGCATATCCCCTGGAGCTAGAGTTATAAGGTGGTGTGAGCCCCCTGAAATGGGTTCTGGGACCTGAATTCAGTAAGTGCAGTAAAGAGCAGTAAGTGCTCTTTAACTCTGAGCCCCTAGTATATGGTCACTGATAATAAGATTTCTTGTTTGTGGCTTAATGATTAAGAAGACTGAAGTTGAGTTCCTAGTACCCACACCACACCAGGCAGCACACAACTGACACTCTCTTCTGCCCTCTTTGGGTACCTGCCATCTGCATTCACATTCACAAACCCACCCATACACACAACATTAAAATAAAACTTAAAAGATTGCTTCTTGCTTCTTGGTTGCTTTCTGGACAGGCAACCTGATGGAACATCTGCTGAGAGGCTTGGTTTACCCCAATGAGGGAGTGCAAGCTTCCATCTGCTACCTCTATGGGAAGCTCTACTCCTCACCAGCTGCAGCTGAGATGCTTTCAGGCCATTTTCGGGAGAAGCTGTGTCCCCTCTTCCTTTCCACCCTGGACAATGCTCAGACAAAGGATCTACAGTTCAACTGTCTGGGTAAGACAACGTTGGAGAGTAAAGGAAGAAGCTTTTGAATCTGAGGACTTAGATATTGGTTGTTGCAGGTGGAGCGGAGGTTTGCTGCAGTGGAGAGGGCAGAATGCAACTGTGGGAGAGATTCATAGAGTGAGTGAGAGATGCCTAGATTTGGTGTGGCATTTTAAGAATGTTGTCTTTGGGAGAAATGATGAAGGAAAATAGAGTTTTTTGTTTGTTTGTTTGTTTGTTATGTTTTGTTGTTGTTGTTGTTGTTATTGTTTCCTTTGAGACTTTGCTGCCTGAAATTGTTGCCTAAGTTAATTGTTATATTCCAATGTATATCTCCTATACAGTCACTTTCCTAATCAGAAAAATCCTCTATGTCCTCTGTGGCCTCCAGGGTAAAGTTCAGGTTTTGCTGCTTGTTATAAGGCTTCTTTTTCCTTTTCCTCCTCTTTCATTTGGAACAGTGTCTCAGTATATAGCCTAGGCTGGCCTTCAGCCCTTTCTTCCAGGCTTGTGGCCCCAGGCCTGGCTGTTTGAGGTGTCTTGTCCTGCTCCTTGCATGAATGCACATGACCTGGAGGATGCTTCTGAGTCTGTTTTACTGTATTTGTTGGTACCAAGGATTGTGCTCTACCCCAGCTCCAGTTTTCATTTTTCAGTGTGGATTGACACTGTGCTGGTGACTGAGTGAGGGCTGGTTTCAGAGCAGGAGCTATAGGGAAAAGAAATCTATTGTTACAAACAGCTTCTTTTCACAGCCTATGCCAAGAGCTGTAAGAACAGCCCAGCCACTCAGAGAGCATTAATTCTGAGCCAGATTGGGTGCTGGACTCTTAGGTCACAAAGATGGTCTGACCTAGCCTCTATCCTGTAGCAACTCACAGGCCACATGGAGGGCAGACATGGGTGGCTGGAATACAATGTGGTACCCTGACATAGAGATGCAAAGAGGATGAGGGGAATCACAGGGCAAGAGAGACTTCCTATAGGGAAAGATGCTTAGACGGAGGCCTGAGTGTGTGGGGGAATTGGAGGGAGGGTGAGGATGTACACGTAACATGGGCAAAAGCACCAAGCATGAAGCAGCCTGAATGGATACCCTGTGACAGGGTGGAGTTGGAGTCAGAGAATATTAGTGTTAAGAGGGGCCTAGGTAAAGAAGAGGGAAATCTCAACTGATGATACATTTTAAATCCTATCTCTTCTCTGGAGCTTTTCTCTTCAAACAGGTATACAGTTGTTATATTCTTATTTTTTTAAGTTTTTTTAGATGTATTTATTTTTATTTTATGTGTATGGATGTTTTGCTTCTCTGTGCCACATGCCTAAAGTACCTGCAGAGACCAGAAGAGGGACTCAGATCCTCTTGACCTGGAGTTATAGATGGCCACTGTGGGCAGATCCACCTCTGAGTAGGTAGATCTGGGCTGGAGGAGAAGGCAAACTGAGCAAACCCTGCAAAGCAAGCCAGGAAACAGCATTCCTCTATGGTTCCTAACTCTGGTTCTGCTCCAGTTCCTGCCCTGACTTCCTCAGTGGTGGATTCTGACGTAAACGTATAAGACAGATGACCCTTTCCTCCCCGAGTTGCTTTTGTTCAGTTTCATCACAGCAACAGGAAACCAGACCTGGACACAATTGGATTCCTAGACTAGTAGGGCCTTATAGTTAGTAGATTCTCAGGTGCTTCTGAGAGAAAGCTGGGTTGCAGACAACAAACCGATGCCTAAGCCTTCTAACCATACTTCATACCTACAGAGACCCGAAGAAGTCTCTTAGGATGTCTGAGACACCATCTTGGGAGGACTCTGGTGTCCTGACCACACTCAACCCCTCTGCATCCTAGGTTTGCTAAGGCAGTTGCTGAGGTATGATCTCTTTGTGTCCATGATCATGAACAAGTCTGTGCTGGTGGAGAGTGCTGAGAGTGTTGAGCGGCCATCAAGAGAGACCTTGCTGCCTTTGGTGCTCAAAAAGGTAGTGGAGGGCCAGGGATCTTAGCTCAGAGGATGTGCTTAGCGTGTGAGGCAGGGGGATCAGGAATGCAAGATTATCTGGGCCATATGGGATTCTGACTCAAAACAACAATAGCAGTAACAACAACAAAAACCCCAAAGACCAAAGCAAAACTGAAACAACCTCCCTCAAAACAAATAAGTTTTGATAAGACAATTTAGTTATGGGAGGACCTCTAAATATACAGTTGCCTGACCTAAATCTCTACCTTGGCTTTGCCTCTTCTCATATGTATGACCTGGGGTTTGATGATCTGTTGAGAGGACTCATTGGACCAGGTGTTTAGTTATATGGCAATGGCTTCTTACACTGGAAGGCTACAAAACAAAATTAAAAAGGGAAAAGTTACATGCGGTGAGGTCCAAGGGAAACCAGACAGAGGTTTCTAGAGTCTTCTCAAGAGGGCTGTAGCTCCTCCAACAGTTCATTGTGAAAACTGATGGGAAATGTTGCCTACTGAGGGAGGTTTTTATGTTCTAGAGTTCTGATGGAGCAGGGCGGTCATGAAGGTGCCTTTGCCTCCATAGCCTAAGTTTCCGGGCTCCTGGAAGGACAGCTGCTGCATTGTTTATTCACTTAGCTTAGTCATAGATACTCTCATTGGTTCTGGCAGGAGTAGGGACCCTCTAAAAAAAACCGAATTCCAAACCCAGCCAAAGTTCAGTTTTGTAGACAGGTCTCTTCAAGAGCAATAGCTTTAGGCTAGTTACATTGACTTTGACATGCTCAGAAAAGCAGACCACAGTGGCGGAATCTTCTCTTGTTGTGTCATGTGACTGTAGCAGATGCCCAAGCCGGATAAGAGTTTTTTTTTTTTTTTTTTTTTTTTTTTTTTTTTTTTTTTTTTT